ACACACATACACACACGCACACACACATACACACACGCACACACACGTATCGGTAATGGGAATTGAATGAGGTCGAGACATGGAAAAGTGGCACCTTATTCCTTCTATAATCTCTCTGGTCCCATACAGAAAATTTTATTTTGGCTAGAGGTTTTCACACACACACACACACACACACACACACACACACACTATATATATATATGTATATATACACATATACATATATATGTATATATATTCATTCAAGTTGTTCAAAAATTATTTCTACGACCACTCGTTTTTGAATGCCTGTTCAAAACACCTGTGGAACGCCTGTGTTCCAAGAAAGACATCTGGAGGTTTGTTCCTGCAGTGACTGTCTGCTGACGCAGTTCCAGAAAACTAGATAATAGCACCTAGTGGGTCCTGTCCTCCTAATAGGTACTCAGCTCATATGGATTGTTGTTTTTGATGTGAATGTCATAATTCGGTTAAAGTAATTTAATACAACAAAATCAACATTTTTCTATCATTAGTGCCTTTTGTAGCTCCAGTTTCTAACTTTTATAAATATTAATAATCCGGAAAGGATGTCACCCAAGAAGTCTCCCCTAAGGCCAACAGCTCATACCTGCTCCATCCATTGCAATTCTGTGTCACAGGTTCACTTGCCGAAAAGATATGAAACTCACACATCAAATCCAAGTGGTGAAAACACAAATATAGTAAAAGTATTTATTTTTATTTTCCAGTATGCTTCATTAAAAAAGGTACAGTTTTTTTTAGTAGATTAATGAACTTAAGGAACAAAGTGACACGTTTTTATCAGCGATATTAATTTAAACTTTACAAACGTCCACCAAAACAATTTAAAATGAAATAAATATATTTACATTTCTAATCTCTGTTTTTTTCCATTGCATTTTAATATGTATAAAATATATAGCGTTTATAATATTTTATGTATAGTCAAAAGCAACTTTAAATGTGCAAATAAGTGAATTATGGTTAAATATTAAACACTAAATCATAGACAAGGAATTTAGAGGTATGAATAAAGCAGTTGTTTAGGGAGGGCTCATGAGTATAGCCATACCACATGTAGCAAATCTTTCGTTGTTAATATTTGGAACATCTACACTTACCTTAAAAAGTTAGCACGTTTGTTCCTGTGCTTTTAAAGCTTCTCCACCCTGCCATCTTCTAGCAGTAATTGTGAATAATTGTTAGAATTATTACTCTGCCGCAATTCTAAATCAAACTTCTCTCAAATCCAGCATTTAAGGAAAACACAAAATAAAGTTTATTAACATATTTTGTCCTCGTAGAAGAAGGAAATGATGAGTTATAATATAAAGTACCCAAAGAAAAATTTATCTCTTCCATAGTCAGTGGGAGCTTGGTCTTTATTTTTTTTTAAATAATTCATTCATTTCTTCTTTCTGAATGTCGACTCTATTAGCAGAAACTCTAAAATTGTAAGTTTAAGTGCACGAAAAAATGGCGAAGACATTGGCAAAAAAATATAGCTGTGAGGGTAATTACTGGGTTCCACGATGAAATAGTTTTGAAATAGATTGAGTTTGCCTGGAGTGAATTCAGAGCTAGTTCCTGGCTGGGGAAATAGCTCTGTGGGCCCGAGAGCTCCAGACACGCGTCACACGGGTCCTCACTCCGACCAGTGAGGGTCTAGCTGGCCCTGCTGGCCCTGGGCACAGGGTGGCTGAAACACTGCTGCATCCTCAAAAGCATGAATGGTGGAAAATGGGCACTGGTGAAGGGATGGGTACTTGATCATTGTATAACTGAGACCCGAGGACAAAAATTTGTAAGTCTACAACTGTACATCATGGTGTTTCATTATTAAAAAAAAAAAAAACATGAATGGCCACATGGGACTGGAGACACACAACTGAGTCAGTAGCCCCCGAACACTGCCTGAGTCTCCCAACCCACAAATATAAACATGCCGTTGCTCCAGTACAGTTCAACTTAAAATAATTATTACGTCGGATTAGACGAACTACATTGTTATGCCAGAAAATTATTTCAAATTATATCTGAAGTCCTTTTCCAAACTAAGACCTACAATATAATCGTACCTTTAAATTTACTGTGCGGACAATAATGAATTATATAATGTGTGTTGTGTAACACAACACACGTATACTTATACCAAGGCACTGGAGGGGTTAACATATAATTGGCATTCTGTCATTAAAATGGGTGCTAGTACAAACTAGGGTATGATGAACAAATCTCATGCATCTACACACGAGTTACATGAGAAACTGATATTTATTTGAGTAGTTCGGTTCGGTTTTTTTTTCCCATTCAAAGAGTCCAAGTGAGAGTAAATGGCATTGGTTAATCATTACACTGCAAAATAGAAGGTAAATACTATTTACTTACTGGAGAAAATCAAAATAATATTTTTCTAGTAGGTGGCTTCTCCATTAATCATACAAAGTAGCAATTTAGATATTTTTATCAATAGTATAAAAAATAAACACCATATCGTATCAACATACATTTTAATTCAAGCTACAATCAATTTACAATGTAAATTTAAGTTTTATTAAGTATATGCATTTCAAATATATTCTAACAAATTTTCTTTTCATTTTCTTATATATATACACATATGTATATATGTATGCATGTTGTACAAGAGATATATACTCACATACATCTCGTACGTATTTTCTTTTTTCATTCACATGAGCAAAGGCTAAAAGAGTTTAAGATGTAGCAAAAATAATACTTGAATTATATATCAGCATCTTAAATGGAACTTTCTGAAAATTTTTGTATGGTTCTAATAATTATACTTCTGTCGAACGGAATGCTTTTCTTTGGGCTATTTGTCGTGATTCAAGTTGCTCGTGGACCAGATTATCACTGTGGACACATTAAACGTCACCCCAATATGGGGCACACAGAGATACAATTTCATCTAGCAGCAGAGATTTTGCTGTAAACTGGGTACTGGTGGAGGATTTTAGTATAAACGCTTCCCTGAACTCTTTCTCCAGACGTTCAAAAGGGACACCAGGGCCTTTTGGCTGTGGTTACTGGGATTTTAAATACAGAATGATTGTTCTGTTTTATCAGCACATATGAAGGAATGATTTTAATGTTATTTTAGTTATTCTAATTGTTATTCTAAATGTCTTTAATTCTATGGCCAAAAATTCATTATGTTAAAACTATGTAACATAGTTGTGTAATTATCTGCCATAATTTTTAATAAGTTGATTTGACACCTTAATGTTTCCTTAGTACAGTTATGGCTCTTTATTTTTTTCAATTTCTTGTATTTAAAAATAAATTACATTAAAAGCAAATAATGATATGATTTGTAATGATTTTTTAAAAGTCCAAGGTCCCCGGTTCTATTGTAGTCATTCCTGTTTCCTTGGGTACTGTCAGGCATAAGACTCAAAAAGCACAAATGTTTGATGTCAAGATTTAAAGGATAAGGCTTGTTTATTTTCTTTTTAATAAATAATTTGATTTCTTTCTTGACTTTTTATTGTTAAAAATTTAATCATCTGATTAGATAACTTGGGTGTCTTCACAGCTCCAAAATTTGAATTAACTTCACAATTCCAAAAAGTATGTATTAGTAAAAATTTTTATTTTTCTCTTTTTGAAGAGGCACTGTTGTTTAAGAGAAGATCTTGGGGTAACTATAGGGGCAAAGAATATTTTCCACATTATAGAAATAGTTATTATCTGAGATCTGAGCTATGTTTATATACTTTCGGTGTTTTTAAGTTTCTATACTTTTCAGATTTATGTTAAGAAGAGGTACATGAAATAACACTCCTGATTTGGCATTACCTAATCACCTTCTATGACGTGGCCAGAAATTTTAAATGTAAGTGCCTTATTTTTTCTATAAAATGTTAAAATTAAAATTTTAACATAAATAACATTTGGGAGTATTCTTAGGGACATAATAGGTCACAGTTAACAATATTGGGATCACAAAGAATTTATTTTTATTGATAGATATCATTCATTCTACAAACTTTGGGGACTCACTGTAGATTTATGAAACTTTAATTTGATAGCAAACCACATTAGGTAAAGAAAAAAAATCTCGGGGGCTGGAGCAATAGCACAGTGGGTAGGGCATTTGCCTTGCACGCAACTGACCCGGGTTCGATCCCCAGCAACCCATATGGTCACCTGAGCACCGCCAGGGGTAATTCCTGAGTGCAGAGCCAGGGGTAAGGGGTAACCCCTGTGCATCGCCGGGGGTGACCTAAAAAAAAAAAGCAAAAAAAAATCTTAAATGAAGAAAATTCTTAGAGTTTCCTGGATGTTTTCATATTTCATCATTAAAGAATTTTGGCATGGTTTATTGACATTGGTGGTGAATCAAACAATTAATATTTATGTTTCATTGGAGAAATAGTCCGTTCAACATTGTGTTTATTCAATGTTATTATCCTTTTGTAATCTTAGGGCTACTTTGCAACGAAAAATGATTTGCAGTACCAGTGTCAAATTATGGAATGAGAATACAAGGAGAAATCTATATCAGCAAATGGAAGTGCTTTCTCCTTTGAGATTTCTTGCATGCCACAGGTATTTTTGTTTTCTTTGTGTCACTCGTAAATAAATAAATACAATGATAGGGCATTAATTCATGATCTGGCCAAACATATATTTGTCGTACAAAATAATCTAAAATAGAGAAATAATCATTTATTTTGCATTTTTATTTATAGGTAGCTTATAGTTTTTTATATTATTTACACGGAATTGTTCGTTCTTTTGTCCCAGTCTGGTCAAAGTAGGGTCATGGGATAGGTCAAGGGTGTGAGAACAAGCTGTTCTGTTCGTTTATGGTTCACTGATGTCTTCCAGGGCGGAAACGCTTTAGAGATTCCTTCCAACACTGAAATTTCAGTGTGACTTTACTGTTGGCTTTGTGAGACGGTTTCTCCGGGCTCTGAAGTGATGACTATGTTGATTCTGTCACTGCAGTCATGGCAAGCGTCAGTGGGTGTCAGTTCGGGTACTTTGCTTTGCTGAGGGTGGCAGAGCTGCTGGGGGCAGCCGCAGCACCCTGGCTGCCCAAAAAGAGAGGGTCCAAGCAGGCGACTTTGGCGGCAAAGAATGAATGGATGCAGTGAAGAACAGCAAACAGATTGGAAAATTCCAGCTCCTGAGAGGAAAAGAAATGAGTCCATCAAAGTCGGAAAACAAAAAATCCAGAAGTAGTGGATAGTAGTGGATAGACATTTTCAAGAGCATAAGACGAATACATTGCAACACATGTGGGCATCTTTGTTTGATAAATAAATCCATAAATGTTGGAGATTTTCTTCTTCTAAATAGTGAGCTCACAGGAGCTCTAGGTCTTGTTTGTTCTGCTTTGTCTTGTTCGTTTGGGGGCCCAACCTGGAGGTACTCAGGGCTCTGTGCTCAGGTGTCCCTTGCTGGGGTGGGGGTGGGGGGGCTCAAGGGACCACACGTGCTGACTTGGATGGAATGTCATCAGCTGTGTACAAGGAACTTTCCCCTTTTTCCTAACCCCCTGGCCCCAGACATAGGTTTCTCACTGGAAGTTGTGGCAAGCTTTTAAAAATACCCCACAGGGGTCACATTATTTTTAAACGTTGTTTTGTTCTGTTAAGAGAGCAGGTTCCTCATTAATTTCTCTATCAGTTTTTATTTAGACACCACGTTTAGCAATACTGAAACCATTCCATTATCTCTCATTAGGTATGGTGTTATTTTGTTTTAACCTGAGGTGTTTTTGTTTTTGTCCATTTAAAACCTTTTTGCTTTAAATTAAATTTATCATTTTTATCAATAAAATTTGGAGAGAATACATACCACAAGTATCTAAACACTCAGGATCATATAAAACTTACCTGGTGAATGAGATAGTGAATTTTAAAAAAAGTACTTAAGAATCCCTTTTCTAAGAATTAGAGTCTAGTATTCTTATTATCCTTGAAAGTCATTATAATATTTAATAAAACTTTCTCTAGTATTTGGCCATACAACATGACATTAAATTTAAAAGTATTCTCATCTCTTATACACACTACAGATGACACATTGGAATTGGAATAGTAAATATTCCTTTCTCTCTAGAATAATTTTTTGTGATAGAAGAATGATGATTAAATAATGAATAGAAGGTAATTTGAGTTTTGGAAAGTATAAATCAAAGATTCAGTTCCATAAAGTAACCAAAATGTCACTAAATTTTTATTTAATTTCAAATGCACTCTAATATTTAAATATTTTCTTAATTGTTAAAAATTAAACTATATAGTCCCCTATATAGTTATATGGGTTGGAGCGATAGCACAGCGGGTAGGGCATTTGCCTTGCACGCAGCCAACATGGCCGACCCAAGTTCGATTCCTCCGCCCCTCTCGGAGAGCCCAGCAAGCTACCGAGAGTATTCGATATGCCAGACACAGTAACAACAAAGTCTCCAATGGAGACATTACTGGGCCCGCTCGAGCAAATAGATGATCAATGGGAGGGCCTTTACCTTATAGTCCCCAACGCTGTGCTGGTCTTCTTCCCCACCCAGGTCAGTTTGGCCACCAGTATTCGAACCCAGGACTTGGCCTTTGCCGTGCAAAGCCCCAAGCATCCTCTAGAATCCTGGGACAAAAACATCCTGAGCCTCTTCCCCTTCGTCCCCAATGCTGTGCCGGTCTTCTTCCCCACCCGGCCTTTACCCCCCACACGCACCAGGTACCCATGAGGAAGTGGCCTCTTCAAAGTGGGCGTGGCTTCAGTAGAAGTGGCCATGGTCTAATTTTAGGCGGGCCAATGCTCCCACAGCTGCAGGTAGTTTTCTCATGTCAAGTAATCTAATGTAACATCTCAGTTCCCATACCTACACAACAACATGAAGAAAAAACACAAATCCCCACCATGTGGGGATGACAATGAAAAGAGTCCAGAAGCTTCAGTAGGTTCTACTCACATAAAGGACCTCTCTGAGAAAGAATTCAGATATGAACTCAGGAAGACGTTTAAAATACTCAATGAAAGAGCCAGACAGATATCCAGTAACATGACAGAAACAATTGAGAAATTACGAGAAGAGATGAGAGCAGAAATGTCATGAATAAAAGATTCCGTAGATGAAATAAAAAAACTCAGTCTGTGCCCTCAACAGCAGAATGACCACAGCTGAAGATAGAATTAGTGAGCTGGAAGATCAGCTGCACCAAGACAACTGGCAACAACAAACAATGGCAAGAGACCTCAAAATAGCTCTAGAGTGAATCAGAGTCCTAGGAGATGATTCCAAGAGGAACAGCATTAGAATCATTGGAGTACAAGAAGGTCAGGGAAACAATCGCAATGAAAAAGCCACGGTTAAACAAATCATTGCTGAAAAATTCCCAGAGATGGAAATGCAGCCATTCAGATTCAAGGAGCCTGTAGGGTGCCAGCTAAAAGAGATCCTAACAAAAACACTCCAAGACATATCATAGTTAGAATGATCAATGCCATGATAGAGACACACAATACTGCAAGCAGCAAGGTCAAAGAAGGAAATCACATAAAAGGAGCACCCCTTAGATTCACAGCAGACCTATCAGAGGAAGACCTCCAAGCCCAAAGGCAATGGTGGGATATAGTGAAAAAAATCACTGAAATGAATGCTTCACCAAGAATACTCTATCCGGCTAAACTCTCACTCAAACTCAAAGGAATGGTACACTATTTTCTAGATAAACAGCATCTCAGGAACTTCATAGACTCAAAAATAAGCCTAAATGAAGGGCCAAAGTGCCTACTATAAGATAAGAACAACCCCACATGTACAACAGACCCTTACAGAAAGATGACACAAAACCCCATAACAATAATCTCTCTCAACATCAATGGTCTAAATTCACCAATTAAGAGACACAGAGTGGCAAAATGGATACAGAGACAGAACCAACATTCTGCTGCCTACAAGAAAGTCATCTTAACATTCAGAGCAAACACAGACTCAAAATTAAAGGATAGAAAATAATCCTGCAAGCAAACAGCTCCCTCAAAAAAGCTGGGGTGGCCATACTAGTATTCGACAACATAAATTTCAGGTTGAAAAAGATTAGAAGGGACAGCGAAGGCTATTTTCAACCTGAAATTTATGTTGTAGAATACTAGTGTCTCTATTATGGCATTGATTATTCTAACTATCATAAAGGGATACGTGCAACAGGAAGAAATCACACTCTTAAATGTATACACACCTAATGAGGAAACAGCTAAATATTTAAAACAACTGCCAACGGATTTTAAGGAGAACATTGCTAGCAACACAATAGTAGCCGGAAAATTCAACATCACCTTATCACCTCTGGATAGATCAACAAGAATAAAACTCAGCAAGGACATATTGGTTTTCAAAGAAGAAATAAAAGAGAGAGGACTTATAGACTATACAGGCTTTTTACCCCGCAAAGAAAGAATACACATTCTTCTCCAGTGCAAGCGGAACATTCTCCAAAATAGACCATGTGCTAGGACACAAAACATACCTCAATAGAATCAGGAAGATAGAAATAGTATCAATAATCTTTTCAGACCACGATGCACTGTGAATAGAATCACACACAGACATGAAGAACCAAATCAAACACCTGGAAATTAAACAACTCACTGCTGAAAAATGAGTGGGTCAGGAAGGAAGTCAAGGACGAAATCAAAAGATACCTGGAAAAAAATGAAAATGAAGACATGAGCTATTAGAACCTATGGGATGCAGCTAAAGCTGTATTAAGGGGAAATTTTTAGCTCTGCAAGCATTTCTCAGGAAGGAAGAAAGGGCCCACATAAACAACTTGACTTCACAGCTCAAGATCTTAGAAAAAGATCAACAAAAGGAGCCCAAATCGGGCAGATGGAAAGAAAGCATAAAACTTAAAGCAGAAATGAATGACATGGAAACCAAAAAAAAAAACCAATCTAAAAAAGATCAAAGAAACCAAGAGGTGGTTCTGTGAGAAAATGAACAAGATAGAGAAACCACTAGTAAGACTCCCAAAAAAAGAGAGAAAACCCTAATAAACCAATTCAGAAATAAGAAGGGGGATATCACAACAGAAACCAAAGAAATTCAAAAGATCATCAGAGACTATTTTGAAAGTCTGTATGCAATGAAACAAGAGAATCTAGAAGAAATGGATAAATTCCTGGATTCCTATAATCTCCCAAGGCTGAATCAAGAACAGCTAGAGTACCTGAATAGACCTATTAACATTAAGGAAATTGAAACTGTAATCAAAAGTCTTCCGAAACACAGAAACCAAGGTCCAGATGGATTCACTAGCGAATTTTTCCAAACATTTAAAGAGGACATTTTGCCAGTTCTTCTAAAGACTTTCCAGGAAATTGAAGAAACAGAAACTCTCCCGAATAGTTTCTATGAAGCCCAAATCTCTCTAGTACCAAAAGGAAAGAAAGACACCACAAGAAAAGAAAACTAGAGGCCAATATCCATAATGAAAATGAATGCAAAGATTTTCAACAAAATACTAGCAAATAGAATGCAACAACTCATCAAAAAGATCATACACCACTCCCAAGTGGGATTCATCCTGGGGATGCAAGGATGGTTTAACATACAGAAATCAATCAACATAATCCATCATATCAACAAAAGAAAATATAAAAATCATATGATCATATCAATAGATTCAGAGAAAGCATTTGACAAGATCCAGCACCCATTTATGATGAAAACCCTCGCCAAAATGGGTATATAGGGGACTTTCTTCAATATAGTTAAAGCCATCTACCACAAGCCTACAGCAAGCATCATCCTCAATGGGGAAAAACTAAGAGCCTTTCCCTTAAGATCAGGGACCAGACAAGGATGCCCACTCTCTCCACTGCTGTTCAATATATTACTGGAAGTACTTACCATAGTGATTAGGCAAGAAAAAGATATTAAGGGCATCCAGGTAGGAAAGGAAGAAATCAAGCTCTCCCTATTCGCAGATGATATGATACTATACTTAGAGAACCCTAAAACCTCTACCAAGAACCATCTAGAAACAATAGACTTGTATAGTAAAGTTGCAGGCTATAAAATCAACACCCAAATTCCATGGCTTTTCTATATGCAAATAGTGAGAGAGAAGAAAGTGACATGAAAAATACAATCCCATTCACAATTGTGCCCCGGAA